GTGCTATACAGTAGGTCCTTGTTAGTTATCTGTTTTATATATAGTAGTGTGTATATTTTAATCCCAAACCCCTAATTTACCCCCCAATTATGTTTTTATAAAACAATTTCTTGCTGTGAAATAATTAATTAATATCATTATTTTCTGAGAGTAATAGATACTTATGCGTTTTCTTGTTGAACTAGAAAAAAGCCTTACAATTTTTCCCTCCTTTCTACATAAACACTAGGTTTGTGTGCTTTTGCTAGATTCTTCAGCCACTGGGGTCATTTAAAATAGCATCGTGTGGTCCAAAGCAATGTGACTGGGAGCAGAGGCCTGAGGTCAGTGACTCAAGGTGAGGCCCCCTTGAGGCTGCAAAGGGAAGTACTTGAAGGCCCAGCTGGTTCTTCCTGGAGAGCCCAGCAGGTGTCCTACCTGCTCATACCCACCATGGAAGGAGCCTTTAAGCTGAGAGAAGCTACAGAGCCCTGGAAAGCTGGGGATAACAACTGCACATGGCAGAAAGGGTTTGGGGGGAGATGGGATGGTGATGCCCCTTTTGAGGTTGTAACCGTGGTTCCCGCGGGTCTGTTTCTAGGTATAGGCTGGAGTTGTTGGGTTTTTTTTTTTTAATATAAATTTATTTATTTATTTTTTGGCTGAGTTGGGTCTTTGTTGCTGCGTGTGGTCTTTCTCTAGTTGCTGCAAGCAGGGGCTACTCTTCGTTGTGGTGCACGGGCTTCTCATTGCGCTGGCTTCTCTTGTTGTGGAGCACGGGCTCTAGGCATGTGGGCTTCAGTAGTTGTGGCTTGCGGGCTCTAGAGTGCAGGCTCAGTAGTTGTGGCGCATGGGCTTAGTTGCTCCACGGCATGTGGGATCTTCCCGGGCCAGGGCTCAAACCCTTGTCCCCTGCGTTGGCAGGTGGTTTCTTAACCACTGCGCCACCAGGGAAGCCCTAGGTTGGAGTTTTACATCCACAGTGTAGCTGCACTCAGAGTGTAATTTGTTTACATTGAGAAAGTCTGTGACAGGAGTTCTGTGTCCTGGGTTAGGGGTCATGAATGTGGGAGTTCTTTTGGGTCAGAATCTTAAATTGAATTCTACTGAGAGTTTTCTCACTGTGGGAATGGAAGCCTGAAAAAGGGAGTGGTTCCATTATTCCCCAGGGAGAGGAGGGCGTGTGGCGCTCCCAGAGTCCATCCCTGTGGCTGCTCAGGTGCCCCCACCCTCCTTCACCAGGGACTGACCTGGTCCAGCAGTTCTATCTCAACCAGGAGAGGCTAGTGGGTGTTAAACTTTCAAACAGGCTCCTTCTGTCCTGTGAGACGCTGACTGCTTATTTGTGCTGATTCCAATATTTGTGTCTCTTTCCTCTGGATTCTTTTATCCATTGAATAGTGCAGCCCTTTGGCTGTAGTTTCCCTTAGCACTTTGTAATTAATTCCCTGTGTAGGAAATAACATTTTTAGTTTCTTGGGCTTAAAGAAAAATCTCAGTTGATTGAGAGATATGATGTCGGTAAGGCAAGAAAATTGTGGAACTAAATAGAATTTTTGTTCCTTTTAGGGAAGAGAACCTCAAGATGTGAGATGAATGTGTTTACGTTTTCAGGTATGTGTTTCATTTTACATCAGTGTTTGTGCATGTCCTTAGAGAATATTGAAATTTAAAAGGCAGGGAACTCCCTGGCAGTCCAGTGGTTAGGACTCGTGGCTTTCACTGCTGGTTCAATCCCTGGTCAAGGAAATAAGATCCTGCAAGCCGTGCAGCACAGCCAAGAAAAAAAAAAAGCTAAAGCAATTGATGTGAGGACAGCTAATCAAAGCTTACATACATCTTTGAAAATTCCACTGCATTTAAAGAACTAAACCCAAACCCCTGTTGCATTATAATGTTATATTGATTTCTGAAAATACCACCCTCCCCCATGTGAGATATAGGGAAGGGACAAACTAGGATACACCTTGTCATTTTAGTTAGCAAGGGATTTGAAAATTATGGTTTATACTTTTGTAACCATTAGTGTTCAAAGGAATTAGATCTTAACAATAGTTTCCTATGTACAAAAGTTAAAATTAAAGAAAGACTATTAAATAGTAACACGGGGTGTATATACTTTGCTTATTTTCAAGAAACCTGTGAGATACAAAAGCCTAACTTAAGCAAAGTCACTGCCCACCTGTCCTGGTCCCCTCCAGCATTGTTACTCCAGCCACTGCAAATACACAGTTTTAATCATTTCTTGAGCTTCCTGTTAATGTTTCTTTATATAAAAACAAGCCATTGTGAATTCATATTTTTCATACCCAAGTTTGTCCTTATAATGAGTAGTCAGACTGCACATTTTTGAAACTTGATTAAAGTATAGTTGGTATACAATGTTGTGTTAATTTTTGCTGTACAGCAAAGTGATTCAGTTATATATATACATTCTCTTTTTTCATATTCTTTTCCGTTATGGTTTATCACAGGATATTGAATATAGTTCCCTGTGTTACACAGTAGGACCTTGTTGTTTATCCATTCTATATATCACAGTTTGCATCTGCTCATCCCACATTCCCAGTCCTTCCCTCCCCCAGCCCCCCTCCCCCTTGGCAACCACAAGTCTGTTCTCTGTGTTTGTACAGACTCCACGTTTTTTGATGTTTACCGACAGCTTACGCCTCCCTTCTCTCTTCCCCTTGTGTCCACGCCCGGAAAAGCCGATAACAAAGTCTGTAGTCCTCTGGCATTAGTTTCACATTCCAGCCACACAAGCCCCTGTCTGTGTGCAGAACTCTTATCCTGGCCCAACCCCTGACAAAGATTCTTTGCTTGACCAGAGAATTGTTGGTTCTGACCCTAAACCTTCTCCTGGGCCTATCTGTGTAGTTCCTCGTGAGATCCAGTTTTACCAGAAACCCTGCTGCGTCAGTTACACCGAATTCCCCAGCTGCCCATGTCTGATTGCCTTCTGTATCTGATTGGGTTCCTACACTCCCACCATTGCTCAGGTGATGTGTGATCACCCTGGCCTGACTTCAGTAAGAATCCTGTTAGGTCAGTTTATCCAGACCCACCAATCCCTGGTTTTTCTTTTAGTAATTTTCCATCCACTGACACCCCCCATCCTGCTCTCTGGCCATGAATTCCCACTTCCACGTGCTGTATTCAGAGTTGAGCCTAGTCTCATTTCCCCCTGGCTGTGAAATCCCATCGCAGTGGTCTCTGTACCTGTCCCAGGGGTTCTGGATAAAATCTGCTTTACCTCTTTGACAAGTGTCACTGAATATTTTTCCTTTAACATCCCCCAGCCATGATAAAAATCCAGGCCAGGCTCCTTTCCTTGCTTTCTGAAGCCTTCTCAGAGCTGCTTGAGAGGCCAGCCCTGCCCTCCCCTCCCCCCAAGAGCGCAATTACGTGGGTCATAGACCTTTTTTTTTGGCCCCACCGGGTGGCATGCGGGATCCTAGTTCCCTGACCAGGGATCGAACCTATGCCCCCTGCATTGGGAGAGCGGAGCCTTAACCACTGGACCACCAGGGAAGTCCCGGTCATAGGCTTTTTCCTACCCTGAGTGTGTGTGTGTTTGCATGACACACCAGCATCAGTCTCAACATGGAAATCACACCTCTGCCGGTGGCAAGAACAGTTGGTGTGGTGAGCAGCCTGGCCAGACATGACCACCACCCGTGGGTCTGTCTTCTCTTGCTCTGACTCGCTCACCCGCTGTGTTGTCTTATGGCAGCCGGGGCTGTGGGCTGCTAGGTGCCAGGGACCTCGTGCTGTGAGCTGTGCTGCCTGTGTTGCATTGCTGACCATACCAAGCCTCAGTTTTAGATTCAGCAGACGAGAGTTGGCAGTTTCAAGAATTCCTAGGCTTTGGGGAGCAGCAGTATGGGATTGGCGCCCTCCTTGTATTAGTCCTGGGTTGATATCTTTGCCAGGATTTATCTGTGTGTTAGAATGAAGCTGTGACAGAGGCAGGCTTGGCCTCGACACACCCCAGTGAGGGTGAGAGAGAGAGAGAGACTATGCCCTGTGCAAGAGGTGGCTCCATTGAGTGTTGCTCTTGAAAGAACAGTCATTTAAAAAGACAGAAAAAGAGAAGAGAGGGGGAAAGACAGCCAATAGATGGCAGGCTGAATCCGCCCTCCTAATACCAGGGGGCGCACCAGGACCCCTAAGTACCTCTGCTGCTGCCCCTGTCTCTACTGCAACAAAGCTCCTGACCGTCAGAGTTACAGGGGGCAACACCCATGGCATCCTTGTGGCACAGCCAAGGGACTAGTTCAAACTGACCTAAACCTGGGGTCCTTAAACCCTATAAAGCAACCTGTTGTCCTGGAGGAGACCCCTATTCCTCATGGCATTAATGTGAGGCCCTCTGGAGGGAAAAATTTTATAAATACCAGGGTAGAGAGGTCACCCTCTCCCCCGAAGTATATACAGTGACTGAAAAACTAAAACAGGGAAGGACAGGAGAGAGGAAATAAGTGAAAAAATACTGAAACAAAGGTCCACAATTTAACCCAACTGGAAATCTAAAATAGTAAAAGAATTTACACAACAGAAAAGATAAAGGGGCACTGTTTGGTTTCTGGGGCCTCTACAACATAGTTTCTGAATTAATTTTGTCATCTGCTATATTGCATTGATTCACAAACCTTCATGCAAATAATACTGGGTCTCGGGCTTCCCTGGTGGTGCAGTGGTTGAGAGTCCGCCTGCCGATGCAGGGGATACAGGTTCGTGCCCCCATCCAGGAAGATCCCACATGCCGCGGAGAGGCTGGGCCCGTGAGCCATGGCCGCTGAGTCTGCGCGTCCGGAGCCTGTGCTCCGCAATGGGAGAGGCCACAACAGTAAGAGGCCTGCGTATCGCAAAAAATAATAATAATAATACTGGGTCTCACGGTACAGTTATATTAGGATCCCACTAAACTTAAGCAAGGTAAGATAATCTCTAAGATTATCTAAGATGATCTAAGATTCCCAATAATCTTAGAGGAGTTACTGAATATAAAATAGGGGACAGTGCTCGCTTCAGCAGCACATATACTAAAATTGGAATGATACAGAGACTAACATGGCCCCTGCGCAGGGATGACATGCAAATTCGTGAAGCTTTCCATATTTAAAAAAAAAAATTATCAAAGCTATAAGACCCACCGATAGACAGTAAACTTTACTATGTTAATAAAAACTACATGTGCTATATCGCACATTTTAAAAATATTTTGATAACTGTATTTCTACATAATTTGTTTCCTTTATAATTCTATGTATTTTTTGCAATAAAAACATTATTCCAAAAATATAAATATAAAAAAAATAAAATAGGAGACAAATAAGCATGTCTCACCTTAACCATCAGCCAACTTGCCTAAAGACCCCATGGTCATAGGATTCATTTGTCCTAAAGTATCCTATAGTGAACAGGAAAGCTCTGAACTAATGATTCACAAATTAAAATTAAATAATTTTTTAAAATAAATTTATTTATTTATTTTTGACTGCTTTGGGGCTTCGTTGCTGCACGTGGGCTTTCTCTAGTTGCAGCAAGTGAGGACTGCTCTTCATTGTGGTGTGCGGGCTTCTCATTGCAGTGGCTTCTCTCATTGTGGAGCACAGGCTCTAGGCACATGGGCTTTGGTAGTTGTGGCACACGGACTCAGTAGTTGTGCCACGCTGGCTCAGTACTTGTGGCTCGCGGGCTCTAGAACGCAGGCTCAGTAGTTGTGTGCATGGGCTTAGTTGCTCCACGGCATGTGGGATCTTCTTGGACCAGGGCTTGAACCCGTGTCCCCTGCATTGGCAGGCAGATTCTTAACCACTGCGCCACCAGGGAAGTCCTTAAATAATGTTTTTGTCAATTCCAAATTGGCTTGACAAAATGGGACCCCACAGATTTATCCCCCAGGTGAATAATATGTGCCAAAGTAAATTAAACAGGGCTTTGAAGGATTGAAAACCATTACAAAAAATTATTTTGTGAAGAGGTGATTACTTGCAGTGCTTCTCCTTTACACAGCTGAATTTGGCCTGTTCTAAAACATGAAAAGAAGGAATAGCACTTGGTACAACCACTGTGGAAAACATTATGGGGGTTCCTTAAAAAACTAAAAGTAGAACTAACATATGATCCAGCAACCCCATTCCTGGGCACATATCTGGAAAAAATCATAACTCAGAAAGATACGTGCATCCCAGTGTTCATTGCAGCACTATTTACAGTAGCCAAGCCATGGAAGCAATCTAAATGTCTATCAACAGAGGAATGGGTAAAGAAGATGTGGTACATATATACAATGGAATATTGCTTAGCCATAAAAAAAGAATGAAATAATGCCATTTGCAGCAACATGCATGGACCTAGAGATTATCATACTAAGTGAAGTAAGTCAGACAGAGAAAGACAAATGTCATTATTTTAAAAAATGATACAAATGGAATCTAATTTTTAAAAAAATGATACAAATGAACTTATTTACCAAACAGAAACAGACTTACAGATATTGAAAGCAAATTTATGTTTACCAAAGGGGAAACGTTGGGGGGAGGGATAAATCCAGAGCTTGGGATTTACATACACTTCTGTATGTAAGACAGATAACCAACAAGGACCTACTGTAGAGCACAGGGAACTCTACTCAATATTGTGTGATAACCTATATGAGAAAAGAATCTGAAAAAGAATGAATATATCATATGTATAATTGAATCACCTTGGTATACACCTGAAACTAACACAACGTTGTAAATCAACTATACTCCAGTAAAATTTTAAAAAAAAGGAATGAATGACACCTCACAGTGGATTACCTTGAGTTTGTGGTCTCACCACAGAAACCCCTGTACCCAGTCCCCAACATTGTGGAAATTACTGACTCTGTCCAGTCAGCAGCTGGTAAATATCGTGCTCTCACAGATTTGGTTAAGTCTGTTGTGTTCAGTGCCTGTTTCAACAGTCTCTCAGCTTCAGTTGGCCTTCACCTCTTAAGGGATGTGATGCACTTTTAACTGGTTAACCTTAGGGAACTTGAACACCATTGTCACTGCACACGGTCTCTGCAGGCAGGATGTGAGCTGTATCGACCTTGCTCTGGGAGCACAGGTATGACATTACATTAATGACATTCTCCTCTGAGGAAGTTCATTTGGGGACATACAGATACTGAAAAAAAGGAGCTCCTGGCAAGTGGCTGGGTCATTAGCCCATCCATTAATAAGGCCCTGACACTGGTTAAATTCTTAAGAATTACATGGTAAACAAGGGGCTGTTCCCTCCCTGACACCACGAAGAAATAGCTGTTGTCCCTCTTAGCACTCACAGCATCTCCTAGGTTGTTTTGGTGTTTGGAAGGCAACATATTCTTTCCTTACAAACTTTACTTCTATGCAAGAAACTCCCCTCCTTGGCCCACACTTTATGACATTAGAGCTGTAATTACCACCAGGTACTGAGCTCTCCTGAAAACAGAGGATCTCCCAGGACCTGAGCATGTGACCCTCCACCCTGAAAACAGCCCCCCATGAGCTCAGCATGTCTACTGAGATTTGAGACATGACGGCAGAGTGCAACCTGAGCCCTCTGGCACAGCCTGCCTGCAGGAGGGGGCACCCACCCCCTCAGTCCCTTTCTAGATGCCACAGTTCTGGAAGAGGTCTCTTCACCATTCACTATGTTACCTATAGGTTTGTCATGTATGGTTTTTATTATGTTGAGGTATATTCGCTCTATACCTAAGTTGCTTAGAGTTTTTATCACGAAAGGATGTTAAATTTTGTCAAATGCTTTTTCTGCATCTGTTGAGGTGATCATATAATTTTTTCCCTTTATTTAGTTAATTTGGTGTAACACATTTATTGATTTGCGTATGTGGAACCATCCTTGCATCCCAGGGATAAATCCAACTTGATCATGTTGTATAAGCCTTCTAATGTGCTGTGAATTTGGTTTCTTTTATTTTGTAGAGGATTTTTACATCTATGTTCATCAGGGGTATTGACTTGTTATTTTCTATTCTTGTAGTGTCCTTGTCTGGCTTTGGTATCGGTGATGCTGGCCTCATAAAATGAGTTTGGAAGTGTTCCCTTCTCTCCAAGTTGTTGCAAGAGTTTGAGAAGAATTGGTATGAATTCTTCTTTAAATCTTTGGTATAATTCAGCAGTGAAGCCATGTGGTCCTGGACTTTTCTTTGTTGGGAGGCTTTTGATTACTGATTCAACCACCTTACTCCTTATTTAGCGGTTCAGATTTTCTGTTTTTGTGATCCAGTCACAGTAGGTTGTATGTTTATAAGAATTTATCTAATATCTCTACATCAGGGATCCCCAACCCCCGGGCCACGAACTGATATGGGTCCGTGGCCTGTTGGGAACCGGGCCACACAGCAGGAGGTGAGCGGCAGGCAAGCGAGCGAAGCTCCATCTGTATTTACAGCTGCTCCCCATCGCTCACATTACTGCCTGAGCTCTGCCTCCTGTCAGCATTATGGTGAGTTGTATAATTATTTCATTATGTATTACAATGTAATAATAATAGAAATAAAGTGCACAATAAATGTAATGCGCTTGAATCATCCTGAAACCATCCCCCCCCTGCCCCCAGCCCGTGGAAAAATTGTCTTCCATGAAACCGGTCCCTGGTGCCAAAAAGGGTGGGAACCGCTGCTCTAGGTTATCCAATTTATTAGCATATAACTGTTCATAGTAATTTTTTATGATCCCTTATATTCCTGTTGTACCCCATATAATTTATCCTGTTTCATTTCTGATTTTATTAATTTGAATCTTTTCTTGTTTTTCTTAGTCTAGCTAATTGTTTGTCTTTTCAAACAACCAATTCTTCGTTACTTTGACTAGTTTTATACTTTCATGTGTTTTCACGTTACTAATTAGCATCCTTTCATTTCAGTTTGAGGAAATCCCTATAGCATTTCTTGTAAAGCAGGGGTAGTGGTGGTGAACTCCCTCAGCTTTTGTTTGTTTGCGAAGTCTTTGTTTCCTTCATTTCTGAAGGACGGCTTTGGTGAGTAAAGCTTTCTCAGTTGGCAGTTTCTTTCTTTCAGCTCTTTGCATATGTCATGCCACTCTCTTATGGCCTCACGGTTTCTGCTGAGAAATTTGTTGATAGTCTATTGGGGTTCCCTTTATGTGATGTATCACTTTCCTCCTGTTACTTTCAAAATTCTCTTTCTTTGATTTTTAATAATTCGATTATAATGCATCTTTATGAAGTCTTCTTTGGGTTTAACCTGTTTAGGGATATTTGAGCTTTAGGTACCTGGATGTCCATATCTTTCCCATTATTTGGGAAGTTTCCAGTCATCATTTCTTTAAATAGGCTTTCTACCCTTCTCCTTATAGACATTCCATATGCGTATATTATTTCTTTTGCTGGTGTCCCCTAATTCCCATAAGCTTTCTTCATTCCTTTTCATCCTTTTTTCTTCCTCTTTTCTCCTCTAACTGAATAATTTCAAATGAACAGTCTTCAAGTTCACAGATTCTTTTATCTGATTGATCAAGTCAGTTCTCGAAGCTGTATTTCATTTTTCAATTCATTTATTGTATTCTTCAGCACCAGAATTTCTGTTTGGTTCTTTGTGATTTCTATCTATCGGTCGAACATCTCCTTTTGTTCATGTATTGTTTATTTTGTTGAGTTGACTGTATGTATTCTTATGAAGCTCCCTGTGCTTCCTTTGAACAATTATCTTAAATTCTTCATTAGGCAATTTCTAGACCTCCATTTCTGTGGAATAGGTTACCAGAAAGTTATTGAGTTTCCTTGTTGTCATTTTTCTGTGTGTGTGTGTTTGTGTGTGTTTGTGTGTTCATTCCTTGAGGTTTTGCATTGCTGTGTTCACATGTGAAGGAGCAGTCAATTCCTCCACTGACTGGTTTTGGGAAAGAAACACTTTTCACCAGTCAGCCCAGCTGGGAATTCTGTGATTCTGTCGGACCTTATCTATGAATGCACCCGCCTCACACCTCTTGTTCCCTCTTTAGCAGGAATTCTTAAGATTGTATGCCTTCGTTTGTTTTTTTGTTTTTCTTGTCTGCACCCCTCGGCATACAGGATCTTAGTTCCCCAGCCAGGGATTGAACCTGTGCCCCCTGCAGTGGAAGCGTG